AGTTCCGTGTTACGCCATCATTGCGTTCGCGACTTCTCCTCCTCTGGGTCGATAGACTGAGCCGGAGGCTCTTAAAGAATATGAATATATTGCCCAACGGTACTAGATTCCACCCTAGCCTCCCCATGTCCACCAAAACGTATTCTAACCTGAATTGCAGAAGGACAAAGCGAGCACCACACATACAGCATAACCCTTCCACACAACGTATGCGTTGAGGACGACGCGATGGACAGCAGGAGCAAGGAGTGAAGAACATGATCATCGTTCGCGTTGAAGTAGTTGCAGACTGTCATGCTAGACACCTGAAAGCGGACAACAGTTCAAGATAAATGGTCTCGAGGCTTCTCTTTAGCAGACATGGCAGCCAGCTTTAGGTGTGCTCCCGAAGGTGGCAAGTCTGCTCACGCTCTTGGCACCTCAACGGAATGCGCATAGCCGAGGGTGCGGATGGTTGTAGGTTTCACCTGCAACGCGCGAGGGCTGTTGGGCCTTTCTTAGATCTGAACGGTTTAGGTGTCTAGGTGTCTAGGGTGGGCGCTGCATAATGGCTGTTGCCGGCCTCAAACAGCTTTTGGACTTCAATTTCTTCTACAGCGATCTTGACTTGGACACTCATCAAGACAGCTGCCTCCTTCTATACTTCTCAAATTCTGCCTCCTAGAGTTCATCGTTATTTATGTCGCGGATTTCCAAGATGAGCACGTGATTTTGCAACCTTGATGAACTCTCTGGGACGTTGTTAACTGATCCATACAAACTCCTGCCGAAACCTCAAACGACCAAAAAGGATGCTTAGCTTTTCGAGAAATTCTGACCTCAGTTGTGCATTCTCCAACATGTTGCATCTGTTTGCGGGGAGTATACGGGGGGACCTTAATTTCTTCCAGAAGTTAGCCCACTAGCCAGGTATGCAGGATCAGAAGAAAAAGCAGGCCCCAAGCTGTATAGCGTTTGGAGCTTGTTGGTCAGCCCTTCTATCTCAGGCCCGAGCATAGACATGCTGCGAAAGGGAAGAGCACCATAGTTCCAGCCTGGATTCAGAATTGCATCGTCTGGATCACGCGGGACGTCTTCAACCAATGGTTCATGAAGCAGCTTAGACGCAAGGCACCAAAGATACAATACTCCCGGCTGAGTAACTGCCTTTGCCGCGGTAGAGTCGGTCATTCATGAACAAGGTGCATTTCTCGACAGGAAAGTGCTCCATTGAACGGTCATGATGGTAAGACATGAAGAAATGGATCCCGATAGGAATCCAATATCAAGCCCTGTACTTACATTCATTCCTTCTCTACTACCCACCCACCAATTTCTTGAATGCTATACTTATGTAGGAAGCTCACCAGAAGAGGTTTGATTGTTGCTCATACGTTAGTCTGGTTGTGGTCTCTTCGTCTCTTTCCTCTGTAGGAAGACCAGACCAATGTAAACCCTAAACCCGATACAAGTGATGTGAGCCCCAGACTAAAGTTACAGTATACCCCCTATACATCCTAATTATTCTACATGAGTCACTTTCTAAACTCCTAGTATCCCCCTTAATAACCACTATAATAGTCCCCTATATAATCCCCTATTAAGGAATTTAGACTGTAGCTCATACAGGTTCCCGCAACCTAACAGTGGTCCGTAGCTCATGTATGCTGAGAAGGTGGCTGCTAGGTATCTCCACCAGGTGCCCTGTACCCAGACTTCCGGGCAAAAAGCCAGGAAGAACCTGAACAAAGCAGTTCGGAGTGAATTAGGGTTTACGGGCCGGATGGTGTAGGTGTGTTGGGGATACTTGGGCCCCCTGGCCCTTTTCTCCAAAAAGTACATCTTGCAGCACTTTGACAACTGAATTGAAACGGGGATACCGCCCACCGCTAAGAACCCACCCCTTCAAACCAGTGACGATTACTACTATTGTTACTATGACTATGACTTCCACTTCTACTGTGACTACCTGGACCCCCAAAGTATGTAGAATAATGGCCCTTTGGGCTACATTTAGGGGTTTTGGGCCATTATTTTTCCTACTTTGGGGGTTTAGGTAATACTATTATCATTATTGGGCGGCTTCCAGCTTATGATGGATGCCCGCTGGACTATTGCAACCCGTTCGCTGGAAATCAGCAAGAAGCGCTGCTGGGCTCCGAACATGAGAAGACCAAACGAGACATGTACCTCACTATTATCAGTAGTATTAGTATAATTCGTATTATTGCTGTTGTTGTTATTATTACCACTATTTCTTATTCCTACTATTGCTATTATTTCTACTATTACTGTTGAAACTACTATTACTATGAGACTGGCTACGAGCAGTGGAGATCAATCATCACTCCATCCGATGGGCTCAGGTATAGGGTGGCACGCCCTTTGCAGACACCTTTGTCATTGGTTGAATGTGCCCTCTATACAGCCAGGCTAGGTCTCTTTGCCTATCTTGCTGGGTTTGTATGTATAAAACATATATACATACCTGGAACTTCGAACGGGAACTTTTTTCTGGTTGTTTTGGTTTTCGTAGCTTTTTTTGCCGCAAACCGCCGCAATTTTCCGCAACGTTCCGTGCGCAGCAAAACGCCCGCAAAAACCCGCCAAAACACCCGCAAAAACCCGCCAAACCGCCGCAAAAAAAACGCAAATACGACAAGAAAAAACAAAACGACTGGAAAAAACAAAAAACAAAACGACAAGAAAAAAGTTGTCAAAGGAACTTCCAGGTATGTATATATAGACATGTCAAGACTGCCCACGCTTGCAAGCTAAGTGCCAAACAATGAACTCCATCATGGTTGGCGAACGACCTGAAAGCTGTATGTAGGACTGAAGGACTAGCGCCAATTCAGCTTATGACAAGTGACATACCAGCGCCAGCGTGTGCACCGTTGCGCCGCCACTGAAACATGTAATATGGTACAATATCATATGGTATAATATACTACAATATATTACTTTCCATTTTCCTTTCCATCCTCATCCCCATATAGCCCCATACTATACAGCAACACAGATCCCTCCAAAGAATCCACCTGGCCTGGTCGGCGTCAGCGACATACGTATCTGATCCCTCCTTGCTTGTGTCCTTCCCTCTCCATTTCTAAGTCAATGGCATATAATATACTATAATATAGTAGTCTCCATTTTCTTTTCCATTATCCCTAGAAAACCCCATTATATACAGCTTCTAGTCAATGGAATTGCAGCTCCATCATCTCCACAGCCACTGCTCGTGTTGAAATTCAAGGGGAAGCAATGTGTGATAGTGGTCCTTGTCTTCTTCCGTTTTTTAGCCTTGAAGGGCAGGCGTGGCGAGGGGACCCTGCAAAAAGGGTTGCTGAGGCCCTGCAAAGTTGGGCCTAAGAACTTCTTAACTTCAAACAGTACTGAACCACATAATATAGTATTATACGATATGATATCATATAATATAATATAGTATAATATAGTATGGTCTAATATGCTATAACATAGTAGTTTTTGGCATACGGGTCCTCAGTATCAAGCCAACTAATTGCCGGCAAGGGCACATGTTGCTAACTTTGCACTCCATGCTGGCTGAAGGCAAACAACTGCGTAATGCAATACGTAGGGGCGTAGGGCCTTTGTTAGAATATGCTCACCAAGATTCCTGAAGAACGCTCTATGCACTCACCCAGACAAACACAAAATGTACCTGATGTCTTTCGCGAAACTTTGGGACTCCTCCGCCAAAGCCTTCAAGCATCTGAAGCGTCACAGCCCCACCAGCTTTGCCTGACTGAACGGGCATGCAGCCAGGGCAGGGACCTGTTTGGTGCGGCGCGGTTAGGCATGCCGCCCCCGGGGACACTTCGATGATCCAAAGCTACGGCCATGTCATCTGGCTGAGCATGTCGTGCATTCCAAGTGCGCCCGCGCTTTACCAATACCCCGGCAACAGTTAGGCACGAGCAGCGGCAGCAGATCTTTTTTGCATCAAGCCGCTAGAGCCGCTTGACCGAAGAATTCCTGACTACAAGGAAAGCCGCCCTACTGAGCTCTGGATTACAAAGTTCCATAGGGTCTCTTTCCCCTTTCAAAGGCCGCTGCGAAATGATGCACAAGAAGGTCCTGGGAACTTGCAATTCTGGTAACCCGTATGCAGAGATTCAGGGGGTCATTACAAGCCCGGCGCAGTAGCGTGGTGCACGCCCCGAACCCATTCATCTTGTGCATCACCCTCAGTGCAAGGCAAGCAATGAAGTTATGACGTCTTGCATACCCGAAGCAGGAAGTTGTAGTTGGCAGCATATATATATATATACATGTACGTGTATGCGATGGTTTCCACATTTTCGGCATGCTGCAAGAAATTCAGGACACCGAGTACGTTTGCAGATCAGGATGACCAAGGACTCCACTTCATCCAGAGCATATGGAGACATTAGAGGTAGTGACTGCGGCTGAGGAACCCAGGTGTCTCTTTTGGGTTGTTGTTGGTCCTTGTGGTTCCCTTCACTCCTTTTCTTTTGGCACCTACTACAGGCACGGCGTGCGACGAGATGCAAATGTGCGGCTAATGCCCACTCCAGTGCGAGAGGCGATATCATCAGGAATTGACCCTGTGGTAGGTTGAATTTGATGATTTCGATGTGTCGCAGGCAACTTATACTATTGCGCAACTAGGTATACTCATCGCAGAGTTGCTCAACATTGGTCATAGAATCTGCTTTTGTATCCCCATAAATCCCCAGGTTCTGTAAAAGCCCCTGATTCTGAGATGTCGATTGTCTTGCGGACTCCTATCCCGCTTTCCGACATTTGGCACTTCCAGCTTCCATGCCAAACCTACCAGAGCTAGTTAGACACCCAACTCCTGTATGGGTTGTGCCTACGAAGTACGGGGTAATTAATACCACGCTGGAGGTAATTGGCAGTGACAGGTGGACCCGAACCCCTGAACCCAAACACTTAATCCTAAATCCAATCCAATAAGCCCTAAACCCTGAACCGAGTAGTTTTGGGTCCTGGTATCCTCAAGAAGGCATCTCTCACGTGAGGTCCTGCATGCAGCAGCCGAGGTTTTGGATGGCTAGTGCCAGGGCCTGCATGGTCTGGGGAGATATGCAATATCCCTACTAGGGATATTTACCGTAGGGTATTTAGCTCAGTATGTCTCAGGAGTCTGCCCTGCCGGGCCCTCTTGAAATTTGGAAGGTGCAAGCGCCACATGCCGGATGACTCTGCATGACAAAAATTGTCACAGAAGCCCAAGTTACAAGTTCGACCACGGCTCCTGTGGATTGCCCAATGCATCCAGCTCTGAGAAGGGGCTCTTGGCGAGAAGCATCAATGTCTCCCGCAAATCTCAGCTGACAGGATCTCAGGCAAGGAGTCTCAGTAACCACAATACCCAAAAGGTGGCGGGCTTTGAAAGCAGAATGCTGACTCTTTTTGCGGTTCTCTACCCTTTCAGGCTTTTGGCCTACCAGTGCTTTCCACTCTCCGCGGATCCAAACCCCTCCTTGCCATGTGCTTGCATTGAGTTCTGGACGGACACTATCATCATGGTCAGCAAACTGGCCACCTGACAGCGCAAAAGGTGAAGGTTTGCCACCGATTGCTTATCCCCTCCCGCTCTAGCGGCATGAGGAAACATATTCCAACCCTGCTTGAAAGTTTGGTGTTCTGCAACTGTGCTTAGCGAAGAAAATGATAAGGGTGTCTGGTCCGACGTTCTGGAAGCCTTGGCTTTGCACTTGCTTTGCCCGGCATCAACGTCGTGCCTTCCTCAACCCGGTTCGCTTGCTTTAAGCTTATCGCGGCAGCCAGCAACGCTGACTATTCACACTGGCAGCGATTTCTGCTATTCCGTTTGTCAAGCTTTCCACTTGAGGCACCTATGCCCATGTCTACTGATGCTTTTACGAGCCTGTCACAACAGCTGGGTCTGAGGTTGTTGCCATGCAAGTACTCCTTTCCCGGCAGGTGCGGGTAAACAGGCGGCACGACCTTAGCAGAACTCCATGGTGGAAAGGTCTCAGGGTGCAGGATCCTGCTGGGGGTATCCTCTTGTACCTTTGTGGCCTGCATTCTTGCTTTTGTTGGGTGACGTAGTTTGAGACTTAGCTGTTTGCTTCTATGTGGATGGCCAGTGTACCTAGATAGATTGCGGCGGAGGCGGAAAGCTGTTAACAGCAAGCACATTTTATGAATTATGACATGTTGCGGCGACAGTGTCATGAAGATTGCCAACGATGCGTGTCATCATGATCTCGGATACAGTAGCCTGAAGCATCAATTTGACAGTCCTTTTCCTTACATTACAACTGCTTCAACTTGAGGGGCTTTTCAAGGCAATGCAACGGAGCTCTGAGCGCTGGGCGATAGATGGGAAGTGTAAGGTGCGAAGAACATGAGCATGGTTGGTGTTGAAGTAGTTGCAGGCCGTGATGCTGGCCACCTGAAAGCAAACATGCATTGTTGAAAGCTTGAGATAGGGAAATGGCAAAATCTCAACTCTTCCTCCTACAGCAAAGCTAGGTAATCTTGCACTCGCCCATAGGATATCTTGACACAGGCACGGACCATACTGCAATGGCACCTCAACGTAAGGCACATCGCTGAGCTCACGTTGTGGATGGTTACAGCATTCACCTGCAGCTGCCCAAAGCATCCACCCACCCAAAGCTGTTTGACAAGATTGTCAGATTGTCTGATCCACATACTAAGAATGGAGCATATGTGTGCTGTGGCCAGGAACAGCAGCATAGCTCCAGCCTAGATTGAACAGTTGCATTGTCAGCTTCAGAGAGCCTCTTCACAAGAAACATGGCATCAACATCAGACTACTAAAGCACCATCCTCATCACCACCGTCCGCATCGTCGTCATCACTAGTCAACTTGTCTCGCTGTGAAGTGCGCAGTGGGGAACACCACATATGTCGGGCAACTTCATTTCCCGCATCAGCTACAGCCTACAAAGCTCTGAATAAGACAGCAAACTAAGGGGATGCTTGGCCCGGTTGGAAACGCCTCCGGCCCCTGTCATAGCCCGTTAGCTCGAGTCCTTGGAGCTTGCTGGTTGCCTTTGGGTTCGTATGATTCTCCGGGATATTGCCAGCAAACAATTTGCGAATCTTGTCTGCACCTGATGAAAGCCGTATAGGTTCTAGATACTCAAGATTTATATCACAACCAGGATGGGCTATCAGACCTTAAGGGCAAAATCCCTGGGGTGCTAATAGGAAATGCCTGGGTCTAATAGGCCATAATGGTACAACCTGAGGTTGTCACCATTGCTGCGTATCTGCCCCAGCCACTGGGCAGTGAAGCATCGAGCAACTGAATGGGAAACCAGGCCAACAGGAACCTTGATATGTAGAAGCTTCGGGGTGCGCCGAAGGGTTTAGGGTTTGGGGTTTGGAGTCCGCAGTGCCTTGGGACTATGAAGCTCCTTTTTGGGATTTTTTCCGTAAGGGATCACAGTATACTAGAAAGGAAATACATATGAGCCGGAGGGTTTTCAACTTGGCAGGGAGTATGGGAATGTGTTGTAGGAACCAGTATGGCCATATGGGAGAGGAAACTGGGACCCCGAAAAAGCGCTTTTACCACTTTTCTCTAACTGAAGCATCTGCAAGTAGATGATGCTGCGTGCGTTTTGACTGCTCTGTGGCTCATAAAGCCATGCGTGCTTGGAGGTTCGGGGCAATTATGGCCCAATTACTAATACAAGTATGTATATATGAGTTATACTTATTGTTAAGTAGAGCTATAAGTGGGGTTCTACTCACCCTGAGCCTCCAAGTATAGGCTTCAGTTAAGGCTTCGAGCTTGGAGAAGCTGAGACGTGACCGAACGAAATGACTTTGAAATTCCAGGGTCATTGTTTTCTGAACCTGCGATTGCATCAGCTGTTTTTTGCCGATGATCATCTCACTACGTCTCAAAGGGCAGAAATTCAGGCGCAGCGGTGAGCGGCGGAGCCAGCACAGCATTCCGCGCATGAGGGGATTGGTCTAAAATCAATATGAGAGGGGTTAACGTATTGGGCTTCCTACATGTTCGCCATTCTGGGAACTGTAATTTAAGCCAAGTCCCATGAGGTAACCACCATAACAACTTGGAACCAGGAACCGATGCCATGATGCACAACGCCTAAATTTGGCGAAGTCTATAATGAAAGCCGGGGATGGTAGTCTACCATACGGTGCCCACTCGGGTGACCGTCTGGGCGGTTGTTTTGCAGTTTCTTCATGATCGGCCTGTCACCCTGTCTGGCCTAATATTCCTACATATGATTCCGCTTAGATGCCCCCAAGGCCACCAAGCAATGATCCCTCTACATGCCTACAATTTCCTGTATCCAGAATCCAAAGCAATGACCGCGCTAGGCTTCCAGCATGGGAACAGCGAACAGGTAATGTACCTCGGAACAGCTGCAGCAGCTTTTCTGCTTAGAAGCTCTCTTAAGGTCCTCCAGCTGGACATTTCTCACCTACATCTCCAAAACCTGAACCCCTACACCCAGAACCCCGAAAGCCAACATCATGATTATCATGATTACTATAATATTAACCTCAGTATGATTGCCATCATGGCTACAGAATTCTTGAGCACAATTCCAGGATGCAGGTGAGCGGCGGTGAGATCCAGCTTGCTACTCACGTAGTAGGTCTGGCGATTGATGCGCCTGCCGGGGGGTGTAGCATGAGTGTAAACGCCCATAAGCAAGAAGTGGTAGCAACCTGGGCAACACTTCTTTAGAATTTGCATGCATGTGATTTCTGGGCCTGTCCCCTTCCAGCAAAACTGTAGGAGTGCTACCAAAAAAATACATTAACAGGAACAGGTCTATGAACAAATCATACAGTTAAGCCTGATCTGAAACTGGCTCAAGTCACCAAGCGCGTAAGGGTGGTAGCCACACCGTTCCAGGATCTGAGTGAGCTGTGATCCATCTCATGGACGCGTAAAAGCTATCAAAATCAAGTGCCTAAGCCTCAGCTCCTACTGCATACTGCGGCTCCTGATCTTGAGTTCTGTTACACGGCACAATCAGCATCATGACGAACTATTCTGAACGATACTGCGGACATCCACAGAATTATCACTAGGCCACTCATTACCAAAGAAGCCAAAATAGATGCTAATGTTGCATTGATGTTTATTTGCGTTAGCCGATACCATCATTCTACAACGAATTTAGGGCCGCAATATTGGTATTCATCCCTACAACCCCCGACACAAACCCAGTCCCCCTCTCATGCTCCATTCCCTAAGAGCCGGCTCTTCTGCCAACTCCTTTCCTGCATCAACCATGCCGGCCGGACAAGAAGAAGTACTTGTCAATGAAGTAGACATAGAGACTGTAGAAGAACATCATGATCTCAGATCCTCAGCCACTGCGATAATCTTTGACAAGTGATGACTTCTTCGGGGAGGCGTAGTCAATCTCTCCAGGAGGATGGATTACATTTCGGACAGATATCGAGGTCAACAACTGCTGAGGGCAAGGCCAATTGTATACATCGACTTGTAGTCAACCGCAATCATGACAAACATCAGCGTCATCATCAGCAGGACATCAACATACCTGTCACATTGCAAGGATATGTGCAAACTTGCAGCATGGCATAGCAACAAGTCAGTCAGTGAGCAGTATTTCCAGGAATCCGCAAGTAAGCTCGAATCTAGTAAGGATAGCAGGCATGCAGCAAGAGCAGGCTCTTGAGCGTTCAGATTCGACAGCTTCTTGGCTTACTGCTCCGTTTTCTAAACTTTAGAGCTTTATGAAGTATGTGTCTTGGGAGAGACTTGGCTCGCAGGGTGAGCTTGTGAGGTCTGCAGAAGTGAACTTCGGACAGACGAGCAGCTGCCCCCCAGCCAAGCCTGCCAACAGCCCTTGCGGAATTAAAGGCGCCATGTCCTTCGCCCCGGCTCTCTGCACATACCAGGCCTCTACCCCGGTTCCCTACCAAACCCTGTCTAGTAACCCTGCGCTTCCTATCGCGACCTCATACCAAACGCCTACCCTCCTCACGGTCTGCGATCACCATTTCAGAGCTGGCGCAAGGTGAGGGGACCCAATATAAGAGTGAGAAACCCCGAGGAGGCGCACCCCCAATCCAAAATTAATTTCGGTGTCAGTGTTCATGTTCTTTTCCACTTGCTCCTCAGTTATTATGAGATGATCATATCCCCCCAGACGCTGTTGCTTTTGCAACCTGAAGCAGTCCCCTGATCCCGAACCCCTATAATCCCTGTAAGTTTATATACCCCCACGTGTCCCTATAGCCCGCTTAAACGGAGGGACCCGCAACCCTAATTCCTAAACCCTAAGCGCTAAACCCTAAACTCTAAATCCTAAGCCCTATAAGCCCTAAATCCTAATTGTAAATCCTAAACCCTGCCCCCATGAAGCCCCCTGCGTGACAAATGGCAGGCCTTTGGGCTAAAGGAAATTCTGCACTCGTCAGGGCCTCAGGACAGCTTAGGTGGGAAATCATGGGGGGCTTATAGGGAACATCTAGGAAATGTATAGTCACAACATGGGAAAATATGAAGGTATAGGGACAATATAGGGATACAATGGTGATGATGTATAAGATAGGGGGATATTCTAGAAATGTCATAGGCAGTCCTGGAAGAATGGAGACGAAGTTGGAGATTGCTTTATAGACCAACCTGGGCTTTGGGCCTTAGCGGTCTGGGTACTTAGAATCCGGATGTGAGGCATCCTAAACCCTAAACCCTGAGCCGCAAGGTGTGTCATCAAGCATTTCTACTTCCTGGTGGCTAACAGGCAATAAGGAAATATGATCCCAATAAATTCCTTCTGTAATGTATCCCTTTTTCCCTACTAACCCCCAGTAAGTCTAGCAGCTACAGTGAAGAGTATTCACACATGTTCTAGACTCCGTACTTGGCACTAGGCTTCGTGTGCCAAGAATGGACCGAAGCTGCGCCCTACAGGATCTCACAGCTTGAGCAGCTTTCTGACTCTGAGCAGGAAATAAGGAAATACGGTTACATGAGCTACTGTCTAAACTCCTAGTATCCCCCTCAATAACCCCTATAGTAGTCCCCTTTATAATCCCCTATATAACCCCCTTTAAGGAGTTTAGATTATAGCTCATATGATATTCCCTTATTCCGTACTAAGAACGAGGAAGTCGGAGTTCTGAGGGAAAGTGCAGGGGTCTCGTTGTGGGCTGGAAGCTGGCAGCACCAGGGTTGCACCAATGATGTGCGGGTCGGGATTGTCTCGACATAGCCTTGTATACCCTGGTCCAGGTTTGGGGTTCCTACAGTAATAACCATAGTCACTACAGTCTATCGCTGTTGCGAAATACCCACTTCTGCAGAGGGCGCGCTAGGCCTGGCCGCTGGGTTGGCTTAGCTGGGGACTGGCTGACCTTCTCGAACAGTGATGTACCTGCGAGCCGCCGCAAGGAGCAAATCATTAGAATGGGTGGCATAGAGCTTCAGCGTGGTGAGCACGTAGAAGCACACTGACTGAATAAGGGAAATCCTGCCCTCTCGGAATCATCATATTCTGCAGTCAACCAGCACTGGACCTCAACCATCCATCGCCAGAGCAAAAAAGAAGATTCCAAGAGGACACAATGGTCCAAAAACTACCACCGCGAACATGGCACGTGACATTCTCCCATTGCATATGTATATACTTATGTTCTGAGTTTATGTACAAATAACGGACTAGCAGCTAAAAGCCATTCTACATACCTATACATTATTACATGATTTGTGCATGATACTTGTTTCCACTTGGTTTACCATGATGTAGCGCAGGCATGTAGTAGCCGTTTTAGGAGGGCTGTTGGGCGGACCCTTGCCACTTGAACTCCCAAGCGTGGCCCTCCAATCGGAGCTATGACTTGAACCAACGCGGGTGAATACTGATCGTAAATCTCCCGGTGATGTCTCCACGATGCGGAAACACGGTACAACTGTGAAACGTCAGAACAAGGCTCTGGTCCCTTTTAAAAAGTCTTCCCCTAACATGCATGGCCATGAAGATCCTCTGCATTCTGACAAAGTTGTTGGACTCCTTCATGTGTGTGCACAACAAGGCTTTAGGCACGAATCAAGACATCTGAAACCCCAAAACTTCAGAGCCCTCGTGGGGCAGAAATCCTGCTAAACTCTAAGCCCTAAAACCTGGCCCCGGAATGCTAAAACCGAACCTTAAATCCTAGAAACGTGAACCCTGAAGTCCTGAACCCTCTTGTTCCATTGAAGACTGCCCGGCGGGTGGGTGATTTCAGGCGCACTTGCTCTGCCGGACCAAGAAGTGACCACTCCAGTAGGACCAAGCAGGGTACACGATGTAGAGAAACTGCCGAGCTAGGTTTAGCAAGTCTTCGGGGGTGTCTAGCTAACTAGCAGCTAGAGGACTGTAGTAATCTGGATGAATAGGATAGGGCTTTTAGACGTGGGACATAGACAACGAGGATCCTACCAAGGGTAGAAGGGAACATTGCCTACATCTATCTGAGTCCTCCCCATGCTATTCGCGTGGTAGAGCAAGACGAGCTTCACTTCTTACTGCAACATAGGCGGGTAATTGCCTATCATGCTCCATACTATCTTTACAAAAACACATCCATGCACCACAAAAACCCTGTCGCTAAACTTACCCTGAACCGCTTAAACCCTAAACCGTTTTGAGCAGTAGACATGATGACCCGGCGAGGGATCCTATGGAGCGGGTTGCTTGGATTCAGCTTACCGAGAAGGGAATATATTGGGGTTATATAGGGATAATGGAAAAGAAAATGAAGGCTACTAGATTTAATTGGGCGTATACATCTATATATATATATATACATATCTATTCACACATATATAGGGGTTAGTAGGGAATAAGGGAATATGTTGTATAGTGGTCATATGAGGATGAACTATATATTCCCTGATTCCCTACTTAAATTAACAAATAACCACCAGTAAGTCAGGGTTGGGGGTTCATTAGAGAGGGCAAGGGTAATTCTTAGCCAAGAACGGAGGATCTAATGTAAAGAACATGGGACATGACATGGAAAATCCTATGTAGGGTTTACTGCCGGGCTTAGGGTGGGCCATGAAGAATCAGATAGAGAATGAAATAGAACATAAGATAGCAACTGGGGATCTATAGGGATATATGCCGGATATATATATATATATGCAACCCCCCCGCCCTAAAGATCTACCTTTTAAAGGCCTTGAACTCCCCGTCTCAAGAATCTGCTCAAACACAGAACCCCCTAACAGCTACCTGTTATAGGTGTTTGGTAGGTATAGGTACCCCATAATGAATTCAGGGGCTATTATAGTCTTATGACTCCTATTATGTGTTTCGTTGTGGTGTGGTGATTGTCTCTGTAAGACGGGAGTGACCGGATCG